AGGGGAACACGGACTATTTCTAACAGGATCTCAAGGGCAGGCTGTTTGACACCCCCCCTCCCCCAGGGGAGGAGCAGTCTGTTAGGCCACAGAGGAGGACTTTGCAGCCAGCCCTGAAGATACCTGATAAAACAGGGTCAGATGAAAGGGGAGGAGGTCCTCCCCTATCAGGGGACTTGGAAAGGGGCAGGGAGGAGACCAGGGAGGGAGTGTGGGGTTGGGGAGGGAATGAGGGAGCGGGATACAGCTGGGACACAGAGTTAACAAAATGTAACTAAAAAGAAAAAAAAAAAAAGAAAGGATGAGGTTGGCAAGCCAGGAACAAAATGTAGTTAGTCTTCGGGGATCTGGTGTATATGTCCAAGGTTCTAGATTTGGTTCCCAGCACAACATGAGAATGTATTTGTAAGCAGTTTTATAAGCACTGTCAGAGACATATAGTAATGTATTGCTGTCTAAAGGTATAGGTGCCACCAACCATGGAATGCAGGCAGCCTAGGGCGATTAAGAAGCATATAAAGCAGATTCTGGAAGAAATCCAATTATGTTGTGTATTGTAGACCAATGAAACCTACTTCCTATTTTTGACACCCAGCATTGCAATGCAGCCTATTTGTATTATCTAAGTCGGAATGTATATGGTAATTTGTTTCTACACAAAGAAAAATCATGGAGTGATCATAATATCAGTGCTAATAGAGAAAGTGACAATGATAAAACAATGTAAGTGGCATCACCATTTGCTTAGTGTTTATTGAATAAAATGAGTTTGAAAAAAAATAAAAAAATAATAAAGAAAAAAAAAGAAAAAAAGATAAAGTTTAATTTAAAACATTGTGGAGAAAGTCAATTACATTGTTAACTAGATATCATAAATGAATACAAGAAGAAATGGTTTGCTCCTGTCTTATTTAATATGTGCTAATTCCTTTTCTACTAAGCCCTACTGTTAAAAACTGAAGTAATTAGTAATAAGGCCTCTATTTAGTAGTTTTGAATTTCTACCATTTCTACCAAAACTGTTTTCAGGAGTGCAGGTATGTTTCACTTTTGTGTGTTTTAGTTGAATTTTCAAATAAGAAATTTTGAGGATAGGTGTACTTGTAAAAATATTCCATCTGCATACATTAAAACACTCAGCTTACAGGCAGACTCAAAACAGTCCCAAAGCTCCTGTATTAGGTTCCAGAAATCCAAAGAAATTATATAAAATGGAATGGAAAAGCTTAAATGGAAATCTTAGCTGAATCAGAACTCAGTTCTTGAGGAATTTCATCTCCTTGGATTGAGAGAACAGGCATCTTATAAACATTACAAACCACAACAATAACCTGACATAGTGATGTGTATGCCTTGTCAGCATTGGAATAAATGGATTGGGCTGTGTTCTCATTATAGAAGCCACCAAACATTGATTAAACTCATTTTTATGAGGAGTGTGATCACATTAATCAGGGATTTTTTTTTCTCACATGAGAGCAGTTCTAACTTGGTTTAAATTAGAGCCACTTATTATGGTATATTAGCCCTCTGCCACAAATGCTTGATATTTAGCAATAAACCAAAAGCAACTCTTTTCTCTGGTAGATTTATCATCTAGTGCTTTATTACATTCCTGTAGTAACTTTGATTAGAGCAAATATTTCTTTTTTATATTTTTTATAAATTACAGTTTATCAATTTAGTATCCCCCTCCTTCATCCCGTCACAATCTCACTCTCCCTCCCTCATCTCCTCCCATGTCCGTCTCCAAGTCCACTGGTAGGGGAGGACCTCCTCCCCTTCCATCTGACCCTAGTCTATGATATCTCATCAGGACTGGCTGCACTATCTTTTTCTGTGGCCTGGCAAGGCTGCTCCCCCCTCAGGGGTAGGTGAACAAAGAGCCAGCCACTGAGTTCATGTCAAAGAAAGTTCCTGTTCCCATTATTATATGAAACTCAGTACTGATACTGAGCTGCCTTGGGGTACGTCTGTACAGGGTTTCTAGGTTATCTCCATGCATGGTCCTTGGTTAGAATATCAGTGTCAGAAAAGACCCCTGACCCCAGATTTCTTGGTTCTATTACTCTCCTTCTGGAGCTCTTGTCCCCTCCACGTCTTTCATAAGATTCCCTGCACTCTGCCCAAAGGTTTGCTATGAGTCTCAGCATCTATTTTGATACCTTGCTGGACAGAGTCTTTCAAAAGCTCTCTGTGGTAGGTTCCTGTATTGTTCTGTTTTCCCCCTCTTCTGATGTCCATCCTGTTTGCCTTTCTAAGTGAGGGTTGATCATCTTACCCTTGGTGCTCCTTCTTGCTTAGCTTGTTGAGGTGGACAGATTTTAGTATGTTTATCCTATATTATATGGCTAATCTCCACTTCTAAGTGAGTATATAACACGTGTCTTTCTCCTTCTGGGAAACTTCACTGAGAATGATCTTTTCTAGATCCCACCATTTGCCTGCTAATTTCATGTTTTCCTTGTTTTTAATTGCTGAGTAGTATTCTATTGTGTAAATGTACCACAATTTCTGTATCCATTCTTCAGTTGTGGGATTTCTGGGTTGTTTCCAGATTCTGGTTATTACAAATAAAGCTGTTATGAACATGGTTGAGCAGATGTCCTTGCTGTATTTTTGATCATATTTTGGATATATGCCTAGGTGTTCTATAGCTGGATCTTGAGGAAGTATTCTCCCTAATTGTTTGAGAAAGTGCCAAGCTGATTTCCAAAGTGGTTGAACAAGTTTCCATTCCCACTAGCAATGGAGGATGGTTCCCCTCTCCAGCATGTGTTGTCACTTGAGTTTTTCAGTCTTAGTCATTCTGATCAGCGTAAGGTGAAATCTCAGGGTCGTTTTGATTTCCATTTCCCTGATGACTAAGGATGTTGAGCATTTCTTTAAGTGTTTCTCTGCCATTCAATATTCCTCTGCAGAGATTTCTCTGTTTAATCTGTACCCCATTTTTTAATTGGATTGCTTGGTTTGTTGGTCTTCAACTTCTTACATTCCTTATGTATTCTGCATATTAGCCCTCTGTCAGATATAGGGTTGGTGAAAATCCTTTCCCATTCTGTAGGCTGTCTTTTTGTTTGGACTACAGTGTCCTTTGCTTTACAGAAGTTTTTCAGTTTCATGACATTCCATTTATTAATTGTTGATTTTAGACCTTGTGCTGTTGGTGTTCTGTTCAGGAAGCTGTATCCTGTGCCAACAAGTTCAAGGTTCTTCCACACTTTTTCTTCTAACAGTGTATCTGGTTTCATATTGAGGTCTTTGATCAACTTGGGCTTTA